TTTTACTTATTTTGGTGCTGCCACGTGGTGGCCACAAATTGTACTAGTGTCGGGACATTTAACCTTAAGTTTACATCCAGGGTTCACTACATCCGAGTTCACTATAACCGGAGTCGTCTGTATTTAAATAGAAATTACAGTAGAGGTGATAAAGAATGGCACACGCGTTAATGTATTGGTAAGTTTTTAATCTCTTTAATCTGGGCAAAATTTTCGATTTTTCCCACCCAAACTCCTTTTTCCATGCTACCTATGTGTGCACAAAAGACATTTTTCACATTTCCTCAATTGTTTAGTGCCCTAATAAAATAATTGAAAAATGGCTGTAAGTATATTATTGACGTTCAATACTCGGTCTCATACATACTAAATTCTCGTTTAAAAAAACTGAGTCGATTTTGAGGAAATGTCATTTGAACTTTTCAGAAAATACGCAAATTTAAGCTCATTTTCACAGAAAATATTTCAGATTTCGAGAAATTTTATTCGAAATCATTTAAACACTTGTACTCACAAATACAATAATTTATAAAAACGTCATTAATGTAAAAATAAAATAAAAAATGTTGGAGACTTTTTGAGAAAATCTTGTTTTTAATATTGCCCATATTTATCTTAAAGTTGGGCGAAAACTATTAGTATTTTCAAAAAATGTACACGATATTAATTAAATAACTAATTGTTGAGATCAAATTTCATCTTAAGAAAAAAATCTGAATCTGCAATATTGTAATTGTAGGAAGAACAGACAAATTTTAAACCTTTGCAATTATCGAAATTTATGAGAATTCAAGAAAAATGAGGTATGTGCAATTTTTAATGCGTATTTCGCTCTATTTCACAAAAAAAATATACAAAAAATGGGCGATCTTTGTGAAAGTTTTGAACATGTTAAGGATTTAATTACAGTACCGTACCCTCAAATATAAAAATAAATGTTACCAATTCAAGGGGCCACGTCATGAGCCAGATCGTTTGGAAAATATCGATATTGATTTTAAAAATTCTGCCTATGTTGTAGAAACGAAGTATACACCTTGTATAAGTGGATGTAAAGATGTTATATCATCATGACACGGTCAATCCATTTTCTGGGGAAGGTGACGCTCGTAGCGGTGCGTAGCGGCTCTCGCTGAACTGTATGCATACGTGACGTTTTTACTAACTCGTCCACCAGGGGGTGATGTTTACAAGCAACACGTAACCAAAACCTAACCACTGTTCCATTGAATGACGTGGACGTGGACGAGCAGCGTGAGAGTGTGAGAATAGACTTATAGGTTATCGTCAATCTCCTTTGAACATGAACATGAAGTGGTAGTTTGAGGTGCAGCGGTCAGTGTTAATTTATGTTAGAATTAATTAATTCGTGTATTAATTGAAGTTAAAGTAATGCCACCAACTCGAAGAAACGAAGATGGGCTACTTGCCAGGGTCAATTTCCCTCTCTATACCTTAAAAATGTTAACAAGTCGACACATCATCGTGGCTGGAGGAGGAGGAGCTGCTAATACCGGTGTAGCCAATGGCTTTGTATGATTATTTTACTGTACTACTATAACGATAACGATTTTTACTGTCACCCTAATGTCATTTAGTATAGCATGTGCATTTTCCACATTTAATGGTCATAGTTTCCCAACAAGAATTGACTTCCTCTACCCTTCCAAATGTCATCCATCACATCGTAACCTTTAGAAATGTGGTTGTAGTTAATTCAGCTTATGTTCAGGTGTGTTTACAACGAAGAGAAATGGGAGTCAACGGAAAACGAAGTTTTCTGTTGTCTCATTTTCAACTGTTTTTGCCTATTTAGTGATGAAGTTTTTTTTACTTCTACATTTATTAGTTTCACATGCATATCCAAGTATTGTTCATAAAATATTGGGCTTGTTCTTAATTGTTAACTTGTTATATAGCAATATGGGTCTAAAGAGCAATTTTGACCAACACGTCAGTGTTGGTGGGAAATACCCAAATACCCCACTCTTTTGAGTACAAATTTGCCCAGTTCTGTAAAATATATACTCTTCTGTGTCTTTATAATTTACTGTTTACACAAGTGAAAGCTTCATATGTAGTGTGTCACCCTCTCAGGAGCCACCTATTTTAATAGAACTCAAGGACATGCTACTTAGGTTCATATGTACCAACTTCACAATTTGTAGACATCCCCAAACTCTCAGATGTGTCTTCATGTGTGGAAATGGCATACTACCAATAGTCATATTTCTTTCAGTTGCAAATCTCATTATTCTGAACCAGCTCTAATTGGAATGACATTTAATGTTTGTTACCCTAATATTTGATAATGAGTACTATTTTCCCCCTAAAACTTACTCCCACAGAAAACCTTTATTGTCAGCATTTTAAGGTTTGGTCATTGAGTAATTTTTGTTTTAGGGGGAAGAGTGATTATTAGTAATGTTATTTTTTTAATGTTTATCACTGGGGCAGTGGTGTTTTAAATTGTTTCATTTAAGTCATTTTAATCACAGGTCACTTTTTATTGGAATGGTCCCTTATTATTTTCTTAAATAGCCTATCAAAAACTTGCTTCCAATTCATATTTTGACAGCAATTTTCACAGCTGTCAAATGACAAGCAAGTTTCTATTATAACCTACCTAAAACCTGGTATCCGATTGCAAGTTTTAGCAGCAATATTGTCTGTTAAGTGACAAGAAAGAATATTGAGATACAAAACACTATGCTCTGAATAATATAAAATCTATGTTAAAATTCATTAAAACAACAGGATAATATTAACAAAATTTGCCAAAATGGTGGGTCATGAAATGCAATATTTGATCTCGCTAGGTACTGACTCCAGGGCCATAGTTTATCTAGTCAAGGGTTCTAATCAGCTGGGCTATGGTATCAAGCATTGCTATCATGACTGTCATCTTATATAGGATCTTATTGTCTGAAATTTGATTTTCCTCCTAATTTAAGAGCATTCTTTCACTGTCAAATGAAAATCATTACAAATTTCATTACCTTTTGAACAAATTTCTGTTACTAAGTTATATAATGTATACTCTTAAAAATCTATTATGCTACATCCTGCAAATCTCATTCCTAACTCTGGTGCAGCCATAAACTTTCTTTAAGTTGCAATGTCTACTTTCTGCAGCTTGTTCCCAGGTTTACTAGTGCTTCAAAGATTCCATTTTATTTTCCTCTTCTTGTGACATCTAAATACATTCCAGCATTTTTCTATAGATTTTAGAAGCTGGCAGTCTCTATTGGCTGTGATATTTATCTTCAGAATATTTATTCTATCTAGTCCCATGTAGATACTTGGGGATCTGGAGCTTGCCTGAGCACTTTTTTGGGGCACTGTAATATTCAATCTGCAACTTGCCTTTTCCAAAGGGATATTTACTCTTTAGAAATATAATATTTGCATTCTATTAATCCTGTTCACTTTAAACATAACACTAGTTATGGTATTTTAGCTGTACAACATTGTGATTGTGTGTTCTCTCTTTTAGGAGATCTATGAATTATCTCATGATGGTGAGCGATATGTGGCCGAGGAGATTGTTCGCCACGAAACTGGAACTAGTGTGGTTATGAACTGTGCTTCTTACAGTAATGGACATAAAAGCTATTTAGTAGCAGGTCAAGAAAGTCATTGTCAGCTATACAGTGTCAATGCAAAAGTTGTAGATGAAAAAAAAGTACTTAACAGTGAAGAGAAAGGTGTGTAATTGAGAGAAATTGCAAGCATTCAGTGTTTGGCATTATTTGAAGAAAAAGTTATGATAAAAACTACTCGTATCTAGAGTGACAATGATTCAAATCATCGATTTCAATCATGATTTGCAGTAGAACCTCTATTATCCTAATTAAACCAGGAATCGGGAATTTTAGAGATCTGAATAAAACTCATAAATAAAGTAAAAAGACATTGAATGAAAGAAATACTTCAATTTATAAAAACCTTTAACAAACATAAGGAATTGCAAATTGTAATTATTGTAAGATGTGCTTAAAACAAGAAATTAAGAAAGTTTATTACATACACAATTAATATTTCCCATGAACAATACAAAATATTATATTTTAGTTGAAAGATTTTGAAAAAAGAGCAAACAATAACTTACATTCAAACATAAGTTACAATATTTTACAGTGTTTTCCCAATTTTGACACCACGAATTTTTTCTTTTTTTCTCCCTAAGTAATTTTGATAATTAGGCTGGAGTAGTACCGAAAATCGTAAGTTTTTTTTTTATAAATTCTCTGATTCAAATAAGTCAAACTTTTATGTCATATCTGTATTGTAATTAATTAAATGTACTATGAAATTAATTACAAAAGTGTACCAGAGCCTTTTAAAACATAAATTGAATGTTTGGAAAGTGAAAAAACTGCATTTTTATAACTGATAAAAAGATCCTCTAAAAACTCTTTAGTTAACTTGTTTGTTGAATGGCACAACAATTACTGTGCATTATTTAACCACAGATATTCATTAACATAGAAAATACAAATGTTCTCGCATATTAATACAAGTAAATAATATTTAAGTTAGTTGCATAAATTAAATTGAATAAGTATGAAAACTTCATTATATTGTAATTATATTATTTACTTCATAGTAATTAAGTATTAATCATATTATTATTTTTGTATTTTTAATTTTTTTTAAATACCTTTATTTGCTATAATAATTCCCAGATAGAAGTCTAATATTTTATGAATTATACATTCATAAAATAGATTATTGATATAATTTTTCTTGCTTTCTTAATATTTTCAGATGAACATAAAGAACTTAGAGCAAGGAACGTTTCCAGTGAAAAGGAAAATTCAGAAGAAGAAAAGGCAGGAGAGAGGAAAAACAGCTCGTCTAAGAGATTGAAGTTTGAAATTAAACCTAGTGATAGCATACAGACTGATTTCTGGTTAGTATGTAAATAATTACTTGTAATAGGTTTAGAAATCAACATGTTCAAACTAGTTGTAACCTCTCCCACCAACTCACTTTTTTAATACATTCAATTTCCTTTTATTTTACAATGTTTTTTGGTCTGTGATTTTCAGTAAAGATGACCCCTTTCAAAGGGTAGTACGTATTGGATGTTCTGGAAAACTTATGGTAACTGGAGGAACAGATGGACATGTACGATTGTGGGCTTTCCCTTCCCTTAAAAAGCTAATTGATATTGCAGGACACAAAAAGGAAATTGATGATGTAGATATCAGTCCTGATGAACAAACTGTAAGAATACGTCTATTTAATTATGGAACATAGATATGCTGAACAAATTAATGTAATGTTCTTGGTAATTAATTTTGGAAAAGAATAATAATCTTCACACTGTAATAATAGCATTGTGATATTTTGCTTTTTAGATTGTAAGTTTAGCAAAAGATGGTTGCGGAATACTCTGGGATGTTAAAAGTGGAAAGAAAATTGGCGAACTACAGTGGGACACTCCAGAAAATGCAAAGTTTCTGTATAAAAGGTGCAGGTGAGTTAAAATGAAACTGCATTTCCTTTGTGAAATATATCTAAAGATAATTTAATAATTGTTACATCATTATTATTGATGTTGTGTTGCGGAATAAGCAAAAAACTTGCTCTGAATTTAATCTTGAACCTTTCATATGCTCAAATTTGTGGCTTTAAAATGCGGTTAAAGTAATTTTTTATACTCTAAAAGCAGTTCCACACATTCGGCATCCACCCAGCAGCTCGCCCAATCCCAAATAGCTGATGAGTTCAGCAAGCGTTTGCTTCCTTTGATGTGTTCAAAAGACCAACGCACAGTGGGTAGGGCGAATACCGAATGTTAGTCACAAGCCAACATATGCCAATTGGCAAGCAAGTCATCCACACGACTTGGGATTGCCAAATGTGTGGAGCCCCCTTTAGTTGAAATAAAGAGTGAGGAGGAAACACAAATAAGTAGACACAACTATACAAGAACTTCAGTGAGAAGGTTGCATTTATTTAACTTCCTTGTTTGTTTTTGGCCTTGATCATAACCTAATTGATTTTTACTTTTATATTTTGTATGTAGGACTAAGAATACTCTTTTTATTTAGGTTTGGTGTTTCAGAGGGTCGAAAAAGTCGCCTTTTTACCATTTGCAACCCAATTCATAGGAATACGAAACTTAAATCGTATATTCAGTTATGGGACCCAATAGATGTTACTTTAAAGAGAGTTGCTGCATGTAATGAATTCCTATCAGCTCTTAGTGTCTCAGATGATGGTAAATTTGTTGCTATTGGGACCATGTCCAGTGGCAGTGTGTCAGTATACATTGCTTTTAGTTTGCAGGTATGTAAAACTTATTTTATATTTCAGCTAATTGTAAATAAATAAATAAATTAATGCCATTTTTTACAGTATTCATTTTAAAATGCAAGTTTTCTTCTTCTTTTATACGATTTACGTAGTTGGTGTGTTGTTCTTGGTATTTTTCTTTTTCTTTTGGGTTTTTTTCTCTCTGTTCCTTCCATGATTGATCTTCTGCGTATCAGTGACTACTTCGGAAGTTGGTGGTTTCAATATGAAGTTGCTGTGGTTCACACAGGGCATCCAGAAGGGGATACAGCTGGGGCAATTTTCCCTAGTCCCAACTTCATTGGGGCCCCAAAATTTGTTTTTCATTCAAAACGATTTTTTTTATCACTTCTGTTGCATGGAGAAACGAATTCTTTTTATGTACTGGGGAGGGATGAAACTTTTGTTTGAAGTAAGGGACCCTTGTAGATCTACCCCGAGATCTCTTGTTTTCTCTGGGTTCACAAGGTCATGGCTCAGTGGGTGTAGCCCCATTTTTCCCCTGCCAACAAACAGTCCTCCCCATAATTAAACAAGACCACTGATGCACACCCAACACCAAGAAGAAAAGTGTGTGTGTGTTTTTGTTGTTTTTTTCGTAACTTATAACTAAGGCCCGGAAGTTTATGAAAAATTATATTTTTAATAATGAGCTTTATTATAAGCTAATTATCAAATGACCACAAAACACAATCAAAAAAGCAGAAATTCAATGATATATAGCAGCATATTTAGTGCATATTGGGTTAATGCATCATATTTCCATTTATATTTATTATTCATATGAATACAATGCTATTCATGAGAAATCATGGGAAGCTTTTTCGTTCATTGCAGCAGTACTGAATTTCTCTTTAATGATATCATAGCACTGGTACCCAGAAACGATTTGTCAGATTATGAATGATGTTATCTCCCTATCCATCACCACATGGTGTGCCAGATTTGGACAAGTATAACAAGTGATCATAACATGCTTAGTCCTCTGTTTGATGAAGCCAGGCTACACCTAACATAGTAAATAGCAAGGATTGCACACCATACTACAAAATTCAGTATCCATACTTTACACAAAATCCTTGTTTTGAACCCTTTTCTTGAGTGAGCACTAATGCCATAAGCTTATGTGCAACCTAGCCTGGCCAGAAATGGAAGGAAGAGAGCTAAAAGGTGGTAGGGCTCACACACGATACATGTACATCTGTATGGGTCTTGAGAACTATTAAAATTCGAGCAAGTGCTTAGTTTTTAACTGTTGTCAAAAGCACAGATATTTCATGTGAACACTGAATGTGATTGGGAAAGTCTTGCAATGCCACATCACACAAGCAAAAATCCATGCCCAAGGTGGAATTTGAACCCAAGACCCTTAAAACAGACTGCTAAGGCATGACTGCATTGGTGGTTTTGTCTATCTAGTTTGCCAAGATATTGACTAACATCATGGAGCTATATGCCCATTTGGTAGTCTATGGTCTGGATGGACTATTTTGATGTACTCTCAGGTTCTAAAATGTGCATATAAACATGCACTATCATATTGCAAAACAATAAGGATAAAAATTAGTTAAATAAGCTCTCCCAATTATTTTTTTAAATTTCATTGTCTTTTATATTGCTGAACAATCAACAATTTTCCTTCATTTCACTCTGAGTTTTCAAAATTTAAATTTAAATATTTCAAAGACTGTTTCACAGTTCACTGCTTGAGTGATGTTGCTCTTAAAAGCCTTAATAGAGCCTGACAAGTCTGACTTGTGCGGTTGAAAATTTGATGCCCTCATTGTTTACACTGAGGAACAACATAACAACATCTGTGAACAATGTAGCAGTGACACTTTCAACGGGTCAAGCTAGCCTTGCAAACCTCCCTGGAGAGTTAATTGGGTCCTCAATGAGAAACCATTATATTACTTCACACTTTTGAAGCCAGAACAATAACTTGTCACCACAAATGCCTTTCTTTTTTACTAGTTGGGTGATGTCTAATTGTATCATGAGAATATCCGTTCAATTCACAGTATAGTCCATGGCATTGGGTAATGCCTTGGGTGTCCTTGCTGAACTTTGCAGATGCTTTCATGTTAGTTTATCCACTTGTGCCTATTTGACATCAACCAACCAACCAACCAACACTCAACCATGTGCTGAACAGCCCAATCCACGTTCAAATGCGGTTTTTAAGCTTCATAATTCCTTTTTACAATGTGCCGAAATATGACATCATATCATTGTACCTTTGCATAATAAAGAAAAATTTTGAACGTGTGTTTCATTTTATGAGAAGAGAGTCAATTATTGGTTGCTTTTTTTCCAGCCTGAGAGTTTTAAAATGTGCAGCTTAACAATGAAAGTAATGTTGGTACCATCTCTTCATTGTAAAAATCCAAGAATTAGCTAATTATGCATTTAAATTTTTACATATTTTATGCAAAACCCCTTTTAAAAACCTTATGTGCTATGTAAATATCTAAGTATGCAATATTATGCGGAAAAATTAATATGCATTATGCATGAATGTAAAAAGAATTATCAAAACATGTAAATAAATGTCATTGACCGTCTCACCACGTAAAATAAGGCAAATTCAATTCAATTCATTTGAAATTTGTTTAAGTTAACATGTTATGAATCTCTTATTGAGAGCTGTAGTAAACATACATGAAAACTTGCATTGGCAGGAAAATCCTGTCTCCAGTCATCATCAATGCTTTATGATTGTGGGTTGTAGCTCATAGTTAACCACTAGGTTTGCAGTATGTGCTTGAAGTATTGTTTTATATTTAATAAATATGTTTAAATAATGGACATTTCTTGTTGTAGCCCAAACATTAGCTGTTGTGCTGTTTATACCTCCCACTCACAGTTATCACTCACTGGCGGAAAAAAGTATTGCAACCCTCGGAAGGGCACTAGCAATCAAGTGCCGATAAGGGATGTTAGGGATAGGGGGGTCTTAGAAGTCGTGATTAACCTTTCACTGCCGACAGACGATCGGTGACGTGATGGAAGTGTGACGAAATGGCCAGGACGCGCCATCTATTCAGCGGCTTTCTCCCCCTACGATAGGATCTAGTCGGGACGGAGGTATGCCACGGCGTCGCCCACGTTCGCCCTTTAAGCAATTGGACCAGTTTGAGAGGGGTCGGATTGTCGGCCTGCGCGAATCCGGGTGCTTCTTTCAGCGCGTTGCTGACCACGGTAGACCATGATGCGACTCAGTGCTGGTGACAATGGGTAGACGAGCATCCCCACAGCCGTAGACGCACTTCAGGGCGACCACGGAGCACTGACGTGCACGTCAAGATCGACACATCGTGAGGGCGGCGTTGGCAGACCGCACAGCTACCCGCGCCGATATACAGGGAGATGAAGCCCCAAATGTGTCTACACGCACCATTGTGAACCAATTACTTGCTGCGGGTTTACAATCGCGCATTCCGCTAGCCCAACTGCCGTCGTCTGGCGTGGTGCAGTGTGCGGGTCAGCTGGGAGACGGAATGGCGTGCAGTGGTGTTCAGTGATGAGAGCCGTCTCAGTCTGCACGCCAGTGATGATTACGTGCGTTTGCGGCCAGGCGAGCGCGTGCGTCCGGAGTGTTCGTCCACGTCACGGACGGCCCATCCCGAGAGTGCTACAACGCGCGTTCGTCTTTGATGTTCGTGGAGGGATCATCGACCAGCGCTGTGCGGCCTGTGCTGATACCTTTCTTGCAACGGCATGGTGGTGCGCTGTTCCAGCAGGACAATGCTCACCCTCACACTACCCACGCTGCACAACACGCCCTCCGCAATGTTGAACTGCCCTGGCCGGCACACTTGCCGAATTTGTCCCCGGTCGAGCATGTGAGGGACCCGTGCTGCAACTCCCCAGCGACTCTTCCTGCTCCGCGTGAGGCGGTGCAGGGGGCGTGGAACTGTATGCCGCAGGACTCTAATTCGCCACATGTACGATGGGATGCCAGCCTGCCAGTATTGATGTGGCGTTTCCGCTCCATGGTTATCTCAATTGCTGGGAGTGCAAGCCTCACTGGCTCTGCCCATTTAATTACGTGTAGTATTTTGTCTCTATGCACTGCATCCGTACGGAGAATTAAGTTGTACAATGTAATCGGAGTGTTGCAATACTTTTTTCGGCCAGTGTATAATTTTGATTAGGAAGCTATGGACTACTCCACATCTTTTTACATTATGTAGTTTTGTTCACCGGCAGTCATACCTAATTAATTGTAAATCCTGCCTTTTTTAATTATTTTTTTATATGCTTTGAAGCAGAAAATTGATATTGATTTTCTTCTGATTTTCAGCGTGTTCTTCATGTGAACAGTGCTCACACAATGTTTGTGACTGGCCTTGAATTTTTGCCAAGTATATGTGAGGATTCAGCTCTGTCAAGTTGTACTGAAACTGCTGTTGTTAGCATATCTGTTGATAATCGAATATGTATTCATGATCTTAGATACAGAAGTAAGTAAACTGTTTATTCTTTAAAAAAGCTATAATTATAGGGCCAAGGTAAATTCATACAGTGAAACCTGTCTATGTGGGACATCTGCGGTACGCATAAAATTTGTCCAAATTAGAGTGGTGTCCAATTTTCAGACATTTGTAAGAAAACTAAAGTGCATTAAGAAATGAATGATTATCTACCTATAGATTGCCAAATTATAGGGGTTTAGATCACGTATGAGAATGTTTTTATATTGGCAAATTTAGAAAATTCAAAAACAGGCAAGTTATGAATACACAGGACAGGCTATTGGCTCCCCTAGGCAGAGGAGCTTGTCAGTATAGGAGAGGACAGTGTTTCTCTGAAGAACAACCCTTTATATCTGTTTCCATTTTATTAACTAAATATCCAAAAGTTTTCCCTTATTTGCTGGATGGATAAGAAGGATATGGAACATTTATTTTAAAAACGTTTCCAAGGTTTCATATTATGGTCTTTCTTAGGATGATATTCATTTTCAATTATACAAGAACTAAAACTCTTCAGCACACACATGATGGGCATCGAAATTTTTTGCCATAGCTGTAATGCAATAAAAAATTATAGCATATTTTCATGAGATATGGAATATGTCGTATTAAGCATAATGATAGGATTATTGTGCCAATAATGACATGAAGTTCATGAAATCCTGTAGCCATGATGAATGATGATCCATAAACAGAATCTGCAATGGTAAATGGGGCTTCATGCAATTTTGTCCATCTTTACTAATTGTAGTTTATTTATTTATTTATTTATTTCTAAGAATTGTGATATTTTGAATTATTCCTATTAATTGTAAATTGAATTATATTTCAATTAATTTTTTCTTGTTTTTTTGCAGGTACTATTCCGTATTGGCTTGCCATAGTTTTCATTGTAATTACTCTATTTTTTACCCTTCTAATATGTAGTTTCCTAGGCCTATAACCTTTGCATTCCTGTATTTTAATTATTTTATATTTTGATAATGCACAATTAAAGGAGATTACTGCCAGGCAGTATGTTTTTTGATCTTTGTTTCACTGTTCCTACCTACATCTTTGCCTTAATGTGTGTGTCCATTCTGGCATAGAATTTTATGTAAATTTATTCCAATATAACATATCACTTTTTGTGCATTTATGAAAACGTAAAAAAATGTCTTCAATTATAACGCAAATAATTATGTACAGAAAATATATTGTGTACTTTTAATGCAAATTTATAGATTTTTTTCAACATTTTATTATGAGAGATTGTCTTAAAAAATTTTAAATTTTAGATAATATTGGTTGACGCATTTAAAAAAAGAAACTGAGGTGGTCAAGTTGTTATTTTTTTTATATAAACATATAATTTGACATGAAATATTTACTTTTGTTGTTGTAATACATTGAATGGAACAAGTTCTGTTGTATTTCATGGTGGACGGATTTTCATCATAACAAGTACAATCAATTAAAGAGCTTGGTTGTAGACTGTCCTATGTATTGCTATGTTCTAACTTGTGATGAATTGAAAATTTTGAAATTATTTTATTGTATTAGATAAATATTTGTTAATATGTTTTCAGTATAATTTTTTATTATCCTTACGATTATCAAAAAGTTTCACAATATGAAATCTATTTAACTTGGTATATTAGGAGAGTAGTTCCATTTGATATTCTATGAATTCGTGGCAAAAGGAGAAATATTTTTCTTAATACACATTGGATACTCCCAACACTACTAATGGTATACTGTTGTTAACTAGTTATTCGTAATTCTTGAGTGCAAGATTATTGCAATACATTTTAATGGTAAGGCAAACTACTATATACCTGGTGTGTATTTAACATTTAAAAATTTTCAATTTTTTGAGTCGTAAAGAAAAGGACTCTTTAGACCCAAGTTCTTTAATTTCTGTAAAGTACAAATTTATATTGGTGGTTAGATACGAATATATGCCTTATACTTTAATATGCAATTACATCAGTAGGAAGAAATGTTATATTTATCACACACATAATAGTGCAGGATGTGTTGTAAACAAACATGTTCACAGAGAAAAAGTAGCACAGATCTAGTCATGTGCAATTATGAAGTATGTCAGCAATGTTGTACATAAATTATTCCATTGGTGGTAGCTACTATGTCATTGTGATAATGTGGAATGTAAGAATGGTCTTTAATAACAGCAAATGATAGTAGTATGCATGTAAAAATTAGACTCTGAATCACCTGGCTGTGCTTTGTTCGAAATATGTATATAGTAATTTTCATTGTTTCTAACTTATTGTTCATCTGTTACATATATAGAACTTTGAACTTGGTAAAGCTATCTTCGATTTACATAAAATATGCTTGTTTTTATCCAAACTCAATGACATGCGTTGTATTGCTAAAAAGAAATATAAAAATGAGTGCCACAATGAACCTTTTTGTTATCTTACACATTATTTATTGATTACCTATCTGTACATCAATTCATATTTTTATTTTATTTTTGAGTGTCATTTATATGTGATCTATTTATGCTCCCAAAATTTATTTTTATTATTATTATTTATTAAGAAACAATTCATTTGCTAATTTTAATTGATGTAGAATCTGGTGCTTAAGGAAATGTCTTAAGTGGCCTTTTATTAAAATGTTCATTGACAATAAAATAATCTTGAACTCATCTTTACAAAGGTAATTGACAATTCATCAATAGTTCATAATTTGTTTCATTGCATAGTTTCTCAGTTTTGAGTTTTCTTTCTCTTCAATTTATTGAGTCTTGTGGAACTTCAATCTACATGCAGTTAGAAGATTTTCCTATGAGTAGAAAAAACTCTATGTGAATTGCAAATCTCACTTAACTTCTAACTCTTGGTATTTTTATACTTTTTTTATAGAAGAATTTTTAATTTATTATTATATTCCCTGAAGTCTGATAATCATATTCCCTGAAGTCTTGATTTGAGATTATTTGACATATTTTTTCTTTATATTTTCAGTTTACTTGGTGTAATGGATGGCACATGCACGTAATCACAGATTTCAAAAATCAATATTAAAATATAAGTTTTGTAATTGAAATAAAAGTACCTGCGTGCCCTGAAGTCCTCCTAAAAGGATGAAAAGTTAAATGAACAAAGGTTTCTGTTCCTGAGAAAGTTAAATATGTATTATGTGAAAAGATAAGTACTATTAAAGACGATGCTTCTTACATTTTCAACATTGGAACACAAGTCTTAACAGAAATCACATTGTTGACAATCATATCTTACCAATGTTTTTTACATAACTAACATGACAATAGTAACTTGTACATAATTTGCGAGGAAAGAAAGTTTTGCCTCATCTTGCACATAATGTTAATAAGAACTACAAAAAGACTGTCTGTGACTCAATTTTTTTTATTATTATTATTATTATTATTATTATTATTATTATTATTATTATTAACAGAATGACAGTAGTGGTAGTGTCATATTGAGAAGTTTTATATTAAAGAATGCGTTGAGTATAATAAAGGTAATATATGGGATGGCTGTTGCATTTGCATGTCAGTCAATAGAACCGCAAAGACAAAAATATGCTTCGTGTACAATTTTCTCCCTCTTGAAACCTCATTGTTTCCACCATTTGAACTAAATTAAACAATTTTGCTTTGTTCTCCTTCAGGATACATCATTATGATCATTATACACCATGGATTCCCTAAGGGTGATTGCATACACCCGAGAACACATATCAGACTTTCATCAAATATCCTTCTTAGTTGTTGTCTTCTCATGTATATTGATAGGTCAGAATGCTTCAAACTTAGTTAGAGACAACACATATCATTAGCCTCATAGAAATTCCAGACTTGTAGTAAGTACATATTCTATGGGAAAATGCTCAAAATGGGATTGGTCCCATTTTCATTGAACCCAAAATTTTTGAAAATTGTACAAATTCAAAATTTTTTTGGCATCTTCCTACAACTACAATATTGAAGATAGATTTTTTCCAGAATGAATTTTTTTCTTCAAAGACAGACCTTCAAGTAAGGTCTTATACAATTTTTCAAAAATTTGAGTAGCTTTTGTGTATTTTTCATGAAATATAGACAATTATTTTCTAAAAAATGGCTCCAAGTTTTTTCCTCTCAGAACAAAGGATGCTTAAAAAATGGTGCTATTCCCATGTTCATAACTTGCAAATGCAAAGTTTGGACTTTTTTAAAGCATTAGGGAGGTTAACTTTAGCTGTGAGTCTTGTAGTTTAGGGATAATCTGAATTGCGTGCTAAATCTAAGTTTGAATCCCAGTGCAGAGAAAAACTATTGCTGGTTGAAAATCCTTTTGTAGGTTAATTTAGTATTAGTACCCTAATAGAGGGCATTAGACTTTACAACAAACTAGACAATGATATTAAAGACATGCACACAATTCATACATTTAAAAGTAAATTGATAGCTTTTCTGCTTAACAACATGTTCTACAGTTTAAAGAAAATAACAAATCACAATATTTCCCTTAAAAAAATATAAATAAATACGAATTTCTTATCCCATTAGACTTTGTTTCATGTTCACTGTTTCGAGCTGAAGCAAAGAAAAAAGAACTGGCATATAGCATACTGTGATGTAGAAGGAGAATGCCTGACAAAAACAAAAAGAAATTATGTTTCTCTCTGGATTCACTAGACACATTAGGTACTGCAGCAGGATACATGCACAAATTTAAAGAAGAAAAAAGAAAAAACTGGTCAAAACTTGCCTCCTCCTCCTCACCATTTCAAGTTTTAAATATAGAATGTACTAATATTGTTAAAGTTTATGTAGTTGCTAACAGATTTGATATGTATTCTTTTAATATTATTATTAATATTATAAGTTGTAGCATTAAAATGACAATAACATCTTGAAATGTTAATTCTCTGCTACCAAAAATAATTATCTACTGTATAATATCCTAATCTCTCTGTAGCCAGTATTGTAGTATAATGCCTAGTCCAATGACCCCATCTCGATCAGGTTTTGTTCAGTTTCCCTGGTCCTTTGAGCAAATGCTGAGATGACCCCTTGTTTTGCCCCTGAACAATATTGTAACTTTGCTCTTTCCACCCAAGACATATTGACTCGCCCTACACAATTGTAATTGTATATGTGACTCAATAAATATTATTATTATTAGAATACTGCATAGCTTTAAAATAATACAAGAAAATATGATGAAGAAATTGTTTTCTTCATGACATCTGTTCTTCAAATGAGATCTATAAGTAATAATTGTTTTGAAAAACCGAGTAGTTTTCGCGTAATTTTTGTTTGAAGTAACGGCAATTTAAAAATAATATTTTCTCGAATAGAGCAAAGTACACTAACAACAATGGCGCAGGGCCCATTATCGGTAAACTCGAAAATTCGGATTTCGAAAATTGCGGAAAAAAATAACTTGCAAAACAGCAGCATTGATAGAGATATTTTACTTAATAAATCTGTTCTTCAAAATTAGATCTTTAAATAAGGTTGTATAAATGCTTTTTTGTTTCTGATTTTTTAATATTGATAGTTTCGTGTCATTTCTGTTCTCTGAAATAGCAAATTCGAATTGCCTGAGCTTTTCCTGGAGAGAGTTCTAGAGATATCAGGTAAAATACGACAAGACATTCCCCTTCGAATGCGCATGCGCGAGGAGATGAGACACACCATCAACCGCTGCTTCCCCTGAAAATATTGCCTGATATAGCCCTTGCAGTTTGCACTGTTGCACTGCGCGCCAACTTATGGGACCGGCTAGGGAAGGGGGCTGGAGTCCACACACAGGCAGGCTGTTGTGTCTGGACCCAATGCACTGTAAAAGTGTGAGCTACCCTCATTAAAACAATTTAAGCAGTCTATGCATGAACGCTGGTTCTTAATATATTAAGGTTCGGTAAAAGAAACATTTTTATAGGAAATATCGCTCCTGGTCTTCAGTACTGTCTCTTTCGTTTTCGAGTGCGGTGCGGTGTGGTTTTTCTTAGAGTAGGCCTAATTTCAAGTGAAGTCCTGAGGCATAATGTGTGTATTTGTTTCGAACACAACAGTTCGCAGGTAATATGGCCTAAACATCAAGCTCCTTCCTTGCCATCCCCATGACAATTCCATCGAATTAGTCATTAAAAATCGTGTTGCTAAACAAAGTATCAGTGCCCCTCTACGAGTTAAAGCAAATGTATGCCGAACATTATTTTCTGAATATTGCCCAGATCAATGGAAGGCGTTATGTGCACACGTTAAGAAAATCGAAGAACATGAAAACAGACATGACCACGAACGCGAAATGGACAAAATAATCGTTTCTTTAAGCGACATTACGTCGGAGGACGACAATGACGAAAGGAACAGCAACGATTGCAGTGACACTGATGACAAATAGCTATTCATTGCTGGGGAGGGCGACGAATCGCGTGCGCGCAGAAGGGAAAGGAATCTGTCATTTTAGCAGCGCGGGGGGAGGGGGGGAACCCCCGCCAAGATACGCTCTTCCCAAAAGAGAGATTTCAACAGGGAAGCTCTTCCCAAAAGGGAGACAGTGGCAACGCAACATATTGGTCTGGACCTTCGGCCACATACACAGATTACACCATGGTCGAAGGTCTGAACATGATCGGAACCCGCACATAAGCAAAGTTTTGGGGGTATTCTAGTGCACATCTGGGTATGTTCACTTGTCTAACAAAGCAGCGTCATAGCACAGGGCGACCAACTGTACTCCTACTACCTTGTTGCTATTATCCGCGCACGTTTCTTGAGCCCTCGCTTCGGTAGATGCGAGAGGAGTGGGGAGTTTAGTTATTTGTATGTATGTGTACATTTAAGTTAGTCCTATGAGTGCAAGCAGAGTTTTTGTTGGCCGTGAAAATGCATGGGTGAGTTCCTCCAGCGCACCGATATTTGCTCGTTCTGCGGAACACCAGTTTGCGTCACGAACCACAAGAATCCCTTGAAAAGTCAGGCCAGATGCAGCCCGCCATGTTACATGAAGAGCGAGAAACGTTGAGAAACATTTTGAAAGTAGTACAAAGCAGGCGCGGATCCACAGGGAGGGAAATCCCCCCCCCCCCAAAAAAAAAAATCAGTAACTATTCTTTTTAACTTTTCACGAAACTTTCAAGCTAAAACAATCCGGATAATCATTAAAACGAATAAAATCGTGTCGTAAATTGAGCAGAGTGTAGCCTGCGACATTTTACAAAATCTGTAATATGACACATTCGAACAAAATATTTTGAATTTCCCCTCCCAAAATTTGTCTCTGAATCCGCTCTAGTACAAAGTGTCACTTTTCAACGACGATCAATTGAAAATATCACAATGAAGGTGCACAAGTTTCAATATTTAAAATATTTTTTTAAGCAATCCCTAGTTGACAAATATCAATTCTTAATACTTCAGGACGTGTGTCTCTCTCTCTCTCTCTCTCTCTCTCTCTCTCTCTCTCTCTCTCTCTCTCTCTCTCTCTCTCTCTCTCAACAGAATTACTATTCGTATCCATTCTAAACACCAACTAGTGCTAAAACAGCACATACTTTCTCCCATGCTTTAACGTAAATTTATAATGAAAGTACACAGATTTCCGAATAATTGTACATGAGCTTATATCAAAATTTATCTTCCTTCATTAAGAGAAAAATCTCTATCTTCAATATTTTAGTTCTAGGAAGACTCCGAAATTTTTTTTAACTTTTTCAATTTTCGAAAAATTGAGTTTTTTAACGAAAATGTCTCTAGCATTTTTCTCTTAAACGTCCTTCATACTATCCAACAAAGAAATTTAATAAAGAACGATGGAGTCATTTAAAAAAATTAAAAATATCATTTTCAAATTCAAAGGGTCCGCGACGTCAGTCAGATCGATTGGGGAATATCAATTTTGGAGAAAATCAACTGAACGGTTTAGCCGCTAGCGTTGCTCACAAACGAACCGATACGTTTTGCCATCATTCGATTTTTCGGTATCAAGGACTCACAAAACATGGATTCTGGCTACACCATGTGTTAGAGGATTGTTATTTCTAAGTTTCGCAACTGGATTTATCCACTTTTTCGTCACCAGAACCCTATAATAAGAGTTTTCTGCCGAAAATTCGCCGTTATTCCGAGCAGCATTACATAACGTTTACTCTACTCCGTGGCGAGAAAATAAAAACGAAACAAAAAAAACAACAGAAAATGCTATATGCATAACCTCAACTATATCATACGTACGCAAGAGCTTTAAAAATTATGTAAACTTCTGAAATGAACTGAGGAAGGGACTGCCTTTCCTGCAGCCCCTAGTCCCAATATCGAGAAAGATAAACAGCGGGAGAAGGAAATCAACTACGCCCATACTTCGCTGCATGCAGTTGGGGCCCACGCTCTTTTCTGCTTCAAAACTAGTGGAGCTACAGAATGGCATAGACATTCTTGCACTAGTTAGTTTTCTAATCTTTCTCGTTTACGGAAGGTCGAGGCCTATAATATATCGTGTGTGTATGTGTGTGTGTTTTTATCTCACAATTTTTTCAGTCCTTTTTGTAAGCGTATATTTTGCTCTGAAACTTTAATTATGTGAACATAACATTTTCAGCCATTTTTGAAGAAAATTGAAAATGTTGGAGCTTCAAGTACAATGCCCTCAAAATCAAAATATCCGTATTAAATTCAAGGGGAGGCGACATTAGCCAGATCGACAAGGGAATATCAATTTTGGAGAAAATCGGTCCTTATGTGGTTTTTCCGTTAGCATTGTTTACTTGACATGCATGAAACGATTTGCCGTAAACCAGTTTTTCTGTTTCAAGGACCCACCTGCAGTTTTTTGCTGCAGCGTTACATTACTTTCCTTAAACATTACGTAAGTAGTATGCGAAAAAGTAAAAAACACCTCGATATTTGAGGTCCCCAAAATGCGTATTTCCGTCACAATATCGACATCCATTTTTCAGAGCTTTACGTATCCCTCCCTTTCTGCATATGAGAAACTAAAGAGCTTGAGAACGAATGGTCTACACTATTTTCGTGGAAGAACAACTATATTGTAATATCTGAACCATTCAATGAATTCTAATATTGGATTGTAATTCTCGCTTAATGAGTGTTATCGCAGTTCAATTTGCCTCTCATCACTATCCAACTTCAATTACCACTATCACTACCAAGTTCAGGAGCAACCGCACGGTCGCAATGATTAAGTCATGATTGACTTTGATATTCGATTATCAGTTCTTTATTAAGGATAATGACCTCCAGTGAGACAGATAAAAGAATCGTTAAGTAATTGGAGGATAAAAACAAAATACTTCAGAGAACAAGGCGCCATAGTGAATTAGATTAAGTGAGGGATATTCCCATTTACAGATTATTTTTGACTGCTAGTTGACAGGTGACATAACAGTTCTTGCAAGATGGTTAGTCAAAATGTTAAATTTATTGCTGAAAATTTAGGCAAAAGGTCGTGTTTAAGTAGACATTCCATTAGATGACTAAAGTATTAAGTAGATAGTCCATTTTAGATTATATTAAAGCGTGATAATAATTTGCATTTTTGCATCCTTGAATACGTAGTATTCAGTTATGAGTAGTTCAGAGTTATGTAATACAAAACATCCACCTCCAAATTTTGTCAGAAATGCACATTTTGGGGGTTCCCAATATCGAACATCTTTTGTTAAAAGAAAAGTGCATATGTGTGGGTTTTTTTGTTTTTTTATGGATAGTCTCCGGTTGATATGGATCAGCTTGCGGCACTGCAAATTTTAACCATTTTTTTTCTTTTTCTTTTTACAATGTAGGACAATCCGCTTATACATTCTTTTTTTTAATCCAATTTTCATTCAAACCTCTGCAATTTCGAAAACTGCGAAAGTTCAACTTTTGGTCGAGCCTGTGTCCATCATCATTGAGTGGAAGAAAATTCAAGTAGCCGGCTGCTCTGATCGGTAGCGGTCAGTGCCTGGCAAACGTCGGAGCAACCTTAAGAAACGGGCCGTAGACCACGCGCGATCTGCCCTTCCTCATCCTTATCTCTTCTTCTTCCTCACACGCACACATATGCACTTTGCTTTCACATATGTCGAGAGCTAAGAACATCAATTGGTTGGGGCGGTGCCCAACTGGCGGAGGTACCTGAAGGGACGAAACCCCGCAAGCCGTTACCCCCGAAAAGAAACATCGACACTCCCCGGGATACGAGTATAATATGCATTTCACTTTATTTAAAGTCAAAAACAGTTGACAACTGAGTGTGACGTGCTTCGCGAAGTGTATACTGTGCACGTTTTCTTAATACTGGGATTCCTAATCTAAGACATACAAAATGGATTTTGAATACAGAAGGAAATGAACGGCTTTGGCTAGAATTGATAAGAATATATTCAGTCCGGTGAATAAAATACAAATATATATTCCAAAAATCGAATAAATTTCTAAATTGAAGATATAAGACCGTATAAAATTCTAATATGCTGGCAGATAGAATTTAATTTTAACTTCTTAAAATCCAAAAATCCTGGACTTACTAATGACAATAACCATAGAGTTAAAAAGCTATGGAATTTTAGATGGTTCACATGTTCTTGCAGAACATTGCAACTTGATTGTAATTGTAGGCATACACTGTCTAAAACATGAGAAAGGGTATTTCAGGTAGGTCCCCTTGTCCACTATACTATTTTGTTTACACATTATTGCAAAAGTGTAAAATTTCTCCAAGCATTGTTCACAACTACAGAATTGAAGATTGAGATTTTTCTTCTGGATATATCTTTTTCAAAATCAGATATGTAAAGGAGGTAATGAACATTTTTTTCCAAAATATAAGTAGCTTTCACTCATTTTGCTTGAAATGAAGGCAATTTTAAAAACATGGTTTTGTCAAAAACAGCTTCAAATTTTATTTTAACGTTTTTATGAAGATAGCACTAAATACTATATCACTCACTTTGTTAATGTTAACTTTACAGGAATTGTTTTATACATTATTGCATATAAGAGTACAAGTGCTTGAAATGATTTGTTAAAAAGTTTTTCGAATATTCAAAAGTTTTGCCATGAAAGTGATATCAAAATTTTGCATTATGGGATTGATCATTGGTTCCTTCGGTGTAGTGCATGTTTTTATTGCTGGAAGGTGGTGAAATTCTGCACGGCTTATAGGGTCCCTCTCCAATAAGGTAACTCCCACCCACGTGGCACCGCTGCAGATGGGACAAGCTCTAAGTGTGTGTAAGAATAGGACAAGGAAGAGGATGGAATGAGGCCTAATAAGAGGCCTCTTTATTAGGGTTCCGCTCTGGTATTGACCTGGAGATGATCAGAGAAACCATTGAAAACTACTGATCAGAGCAGCTGCTCCTAGAATTCTCCTCCACCCAGCAGTTGATTTCGAACTAGTTGTCTAGCTAGTGCCGAAAATCCTACCTTCGGTGGGACTCGAACCCTGGGACCTTCTGTTCAGAAGCACTGCAGTGACATCAAACTGATGCCCTGAGCTCAGTGGCTGGGTCAGAAACGATCAAACATTTTCTCTAAAATAGCTCTAAATTTTTCAATGAAAATTTGCATATAGGACCATGTATACTATTCTTAAAGTCACATTTCATTTCCATTATTAGGGGACCAAAAAAAATGAGAAATCTGAAAAAATATCTTAAAAACACCAATAGATAGACGCTGAGAAGAGGGTGGGAAAATGTTGAAAAGCTAGCATAGTCTAAAAAGATAAGAAAAGTGATTAGTGTGAGAAAGAATACTTGGTGCAATTGCTTTGCACTGTATGAACGTATAAGGAGTACTGTACAAAATTAAGTGGCAAGGCATTTCAATAGAAATCTTCCTTCAGATTTTTTATAAAAGAATTTTTATTTCTATTTTTCCAAAAATTAAATACATAAAATCGTATACATATATAATTCATGAGAAATTCAAAACTTCATGTTCTTTTTTTGTTTTTGCAATTTAAATTTTGTAATGCATATACTTTACATAATTTTAATATGTTACTAGTTTCTTCAGTATAATATAGTCTTCCGTGCATTTAGTTACCTCCAAATTTGCCTGCAGGTCTAGGAAAGATACCTTTAGAAAACATCTCTTGCCACTTACTACCATTCGGATATTCATATGCTTCCGCAGAGGCAGGCTTGAGTTTAGTGCTATATCCTGGCACCTAGAAATGACACATTTTTTATATTTGTTAAGATAAAAAAACAGCAAGTGAACAGTACATAGAATTTTGAAGACACTTACAATTGGCACTTGATAGTGAGCACGCTTCACAACTGTTGGATTTTCAAAATGCTCATGCTGCTGATCAACAAACTCAACAACACGATTTTCTTTTGTGCCTGATAAGCATACATAATCAAACATTTGCAGATGTTGAACCATTTCACACAATCCAACACCTCCAGCATGAGGACAGACTGGCACTGAAAAAGAAGAAAACAATTAAAAAGAATTATCTCCCTTTACGTCACAGTATCACTTCACATGAATTTGTAAGTTTTTAAAATAATTTTTTTTTTATAAGCCCTCTTTATAAAGACATATGGTGCCAACTTATGTGTATTGCATTTTAGTGGCTGATAGTATAATCTATTTTCATCATTTTCTGTGTTCTTTGGTTTATAGATTTCATATGTTACACAATACACATGCTGTTTCAATTCATATTTCATAATTATAAAAATCCATGAGAATGATTATATCTTTCATTCCTTTTTATACCATACAATCTCTCATCTAACATACTTTTTTTTTCTTGGCATTTCTTTCTACTTGTTTCACACAATATATTTGAATTATTTATATTGAATTAAAATGTATTACACGTACCTCCCAACTTTTTGGCCATGAAGTATACAGACAATATTTCATTCACCCCACCAATGCGACATGAGTCAATTTGACAGAATTGCATGCCTCCAGACTGCAGAAACTGCTTGAAGAGAACTCTGTTGCAGCACATTTCTCCAGTAGCAACTCCAATTCCCAGAGGTTTCAGGGCCTTGAACCATAATAGTAGTTTCACTATCTCATCTTGCAAATATATATTACTCATCTCTAGAAGTTATCACAATACCTGTGATATTTTGGCATGACCTAACACATCATCTGGAGATGTTGGTTCTTCTATCCACAATGGTTTGAACTCAGCCAATTCTTTCATCCAGTCAATAGATTGCTGAACATCCCAAATCTGATTTGCATCGACCATCTGTAGTGAAAATTTAAGTTATAAAGCACGTTAGGATACATTATACATGCAGTAATTCCAGTTTTGCAAGGCAATCTAAGAATATGGACAGATGAACAATGTACAAAAGATTGTGAATTCAATTATCAAGGAATGTAAAATACCTACAAGAACTTTATCCCAGCCAATAACTTCTCGGACCATAGCACATCTTCTTTTATCATCTTCCAGATTTTGTCCTACTTTCACTTTAAATGCTGTGAACCCTTCTGCGAGATATTTGGCACACAGTTCTTTTACACGATCAGAGGTGTATCCAAGCCAGCCTGAAAAAGTACATTTTAGTATAAAAATAAAGCATTAAATATTATTCCTAGAATAAACTAATTAAAATGAAGCACAGTGTTAAATCAATTCAATTAATCTAATGAAGAAGACCTCATAATTTTTGCCCATAAGATTTTAATAAGAGATTTCTGTCCAGGTCTCTCTAATTTTTTTCCTTACTCCAAAACACACATTCTACGACTTAAGTAAGTGTATATTATGTTTGGCCAAAGTACCTAACACAAACATTTTTAGAATACTTACAAAATATAGTAAGAGCTTCAAGTATGGTGCCTTTCAAAAGAAAAGAATCTTCCTCAAAATCATAAAACTATTAGATGAAGGATAAATGAAACCAAATTCAAAGAAGCAAGACAATTTATTTCATTTCGAAATAACAGATGGACATTCAGACAGAAATTTCTAATTTGCAAAACATCATTCCAGAATCTAGCACTCTAAAAACGTCCAAAATTTATAATATACACATTTGAAAGAAAAGACCATATCTTTTAACATTTTTCCATATTCTCCAAATGCCTGCTGAATGAGAATTAATGATCATGAAAACTACCACACTAACCAATTTTAATGATTAAATTGTATAACACATCTACTCACTGGCCAAAAAGATAATACATCAGAAGAAACAAGAACTAACACTATGCATATTAGTACTATACGTATTTCTTGGAGAATAATTTTTTTCTTTCCCACTTATCCATTCAATATTTTTAAGTCTTTATTACTAACTAGAAAAATAGTGAGCAACTAACTCAAGATCATGTACATTAACTGAAATTCCAAACTCACCAACTTGAGTGGTGTAAGCAGGATACCCAGTTCTTCGCAGTTCTGCTTCACGTTCCTCCTTTCCAGATGCAGCTTTCTTTAGCATGGCCAAAGCTTCTTCTGGTGTCACTACATCTGTACTAAAGTGACAAAGAAATATTAAAATTAATGTGAAAGAACAATTAATATTTGGAAAATTGTAATCTGAAAAAGGTTCGTACTTACATGTATCGAAAATCAATGGCACGTACTAGCGTCTCTGGTTCCATATCAACAAGAAGTTTCCATACTGGCTTGTTTTCAACTTTTCCCCATAAGTCCCACAGTGCATTCACTATCGCAGCTGTAGCAAGATGAACAACACCTTTTTCTGGACCAATCTGCAAAATGTCAAGTAATGTAATTTTGTTTAATACCAATTGTTATTATAGAAACAAAAAAAGTTACTCAAAAATATCTCATTAACTACAACTTTAATTTACCACACTCCCCAAAGTTTATCAAATCTCTTCCAGTCACTGAAATCTTGGCAAAAATGCCCATTCCTACCTGTATTTGTAATTCAACTTAATAAAGTATAAGAGCTAGGGTAGGTATTCCAGAGCTCAAGAAAACATGCACAGATTGCACTTCAACCCATAGTATATCACACACAGTTTTTAAATGATTTTTGATGTTTTTTGTAAATAAATAAGTTTTTGCACTTCATCTCAGAAAATTTCAATACATGTATTCTTCACCATGTTTTAGATATAATAGAAACATCACAAATTAATGTGCCTGGAAGATTTTTAAACCATGAAATACAAAAGATATTTACCCATCTGAGTTGTGATTCACTTGTGAGTTGCCTCCAGAAAGCTCCAAAATTCTGAAAAATTTCAGCTGCATCTTTGCCAATGACCATAGACGACATAGAATTGATAGCTTGGACAACTATAAAGAAAACACAATGAAAGATCATTTTCTCCATACTCATTTTGCTGAACAGAAAAAAAAATAAGGTAGAAAAATCATGTATATCTTATGTTCTGACCGATTTCTGTTCCACGACCAAGGGTGAAAGTTAAGCCATGCCCTTCCACATCTCTTTCAGTATAGATAACAACATAAGCACAGGAATAATCTGGATCAGTATGCTGAAAATACAGAGCAAAGTATTATTTATTCACGTTACAAGGTACAATTATTAACCGAATAAATCAAAATTTGTGTTCAGCAATATTTAAGGTTTCTATTACCATTGCATCTGATCCATGAGCACCCAGGGAAGTAGGGAATCTTATATCCCGTGCCTGGAGGTTTCTAATTACCAACCCAGTTCCCGGAGCTTTTGAGTTTGTAACTGTTCTTCTACAAAAATAAAACATTCATATCATTTAAGTTTATGATACCTTTATAGACTTTGGGTAATGTTCGATTTAAATTCCTTTAGTGATATTCAGCTGGGCATTGTTATCCAATCATGAGCTTCATTAAGACTTCAATTTTGGGTGTTCAAATTCCCGATTAGATAACTATGTCTCAGCTGATAAACTGTCACATGTCATTATATTTAAATCGACCAGTAAATGAAAAAAACATCCGTTATTTTTTAACTTAAATGTCTCATTGGTCACAAAAAAGGTTCAAACTACAATAAAATTTGCTCTATATCAAATCTCAAGGGACCAATATTTTTTTCTGCATTAGACAAGATAACATATGCAAATAAAGCCAAGCATTTGCCAAGATCGCAGTTTCTTTACACATTGGACTTGTACATCTTCACTAAGCATGTTTTACTGTATCAGTAAATCTATTATTATATGTGACATGAACTGCTTTTCTTCCAAGACACATGTACAATTTATATTGAACTAGTGAGAAAAACGAGCACATACACTTCACAATCCAACAATCCTGGGTCATACATTGCTTGACTGGAGTTCTTACAGAGTACAAAGAAGAAATGTCTGACTTCTTCCTGAACGTAGTTAAGAGTAGGTAATAAATGCAAATGGATATTCTAATTGATATGTCATGAGTCTTGAAAATTTACACCTGTGTATGATCAGCTGAGTTGAATAGCAAGGAAGTAGTTACAGAAATAATTTAACACTTTTTTAATGATATGTCTAAAAAAACCTTCCACGACATTAATTATGTTTACTCGAAAATGTAAAGTAACATTTTTACAACATACCCATTATGGACAGACATGGTGAAAGCAGATGATGAGCTACTACAACACAACTAACTCATTTCCCTCAAGACCTTGGTAACACTATCACCTAAGATAAAAGTAATGATTGCATTTTTATCTTCTTGTTTGTCACATGATACATTATTTTCTTCTCAACAGTACCTCTTCAGTCACTATTTGTCATCTGTGTATTATATAACAATTTAAAGCGACCTCCAACTCTGAAATCCTTTTAATTTCTGTGCATTCCCATAAAAACATGGTTAAAAAAGGGGGAATATCATATTTGTTACTGATTTCAACTCTCTGCATCATTTCTGAACTAAATTGTATGTGTAAGGCTCTCGTCCTGTAACAAGTGTCTTCGAGATAACATTTGATTTAAAAGAAACTAATCTAATATTATTGGATGTAATTTAATGCAAAAGAAACATATAGTGTTAGAGGATGAATCAGTCCTCAGAGTTCTCACCGTTCCATGGAGAGAAAATCGGACTTGTCCGAATACACAGTACATTCAAACCAAAGATCAGACACTGGTCATAATCAATGTCAGATCAGCGATCAAAACCATCAAAAAAGAAGCGCATGTTACGGTCGCTCTCGTTTAACGCGGGTTGACACATGACCCTTGTATCTGGTTGACGTCAGCACCAGTTTGTATTAGTTCTGGGCAAGATCCATATACACTGTGTAGTATATAGTACAATGTATATGGTTCTTACAGTTACATTACGTAACATTTACAAATTATTGTCCTCATAGTTCTGGAAGCAGATTCAGACAAGACTGCGCAAGTTTTCTTGGTTTTCTTGAGCCCTCGCAGTTGCGAGAGGTGTGGGGAGTTTCGTTCTTTTGACAAAAGGAATTTTGCATCAAATTTGTTGTTCCTTTTTCGATGCAAAATAATTTATATTACACGGGAGCGAACATTCTGGTTAACAGAGTTTGTCTACAACGTTCGTTGCTATCATTTATTCTTAATCCAACTAACGTTGACAAATGAGTGAGGGAAGGTATTTCGGGGCTCAAGAAAACGTGAGCGCATAATATCACACATGCAGATGTCCAGGAGAAAACGTGACAAAGAAAACATGTAGTATTTGAATTCACGAAGAATAGCAGATACAGTTTTCCCGGCACAAATTGATTTCTAAATACGTTTGTTTAAGTATTACTTCCGGGCGCGCAATTCAAAATTGGCTGTCGAGCAACCGGAGCAGAGGTACAACACCCTGCGGCACTTACAAAGGCGCTATTGTTGCTTCGTTTCTTCGGATTGTCAGTGAATCATTCATCATTCCACGAAATCTACTTAAAATGCAGTATATTTCTCAATATTGAGCTCATTTCTAGAACGCTTTTTTAACTAGTCTTATTAGTTAGTTAACTAGTCTTATTATTACTAGTTATTAGTAGTTTTGTACATAAAGTTGAGTTATATCGAGTTTTTTTTCAAACGACCATGGTAACATTATCTGCAATATAGATGGCGTTTATCATAGTTGAAATGTAAGGCGTATAGTCGTTGCAAGATTATGATATACTAATAAGATGAGAAAGTATGTGATGTTGAGCCCACATTTCTAAAACGGAAACCTTTTCTGACAAAAGTTTCATTTTGGGAAATATAGGAAAAACGAATGATACTGCAAAAACATACGTCATCAATTATCATATATGTTTTATATCGGTTACACGATTTTGTAATATTGCATGTTCTGTCCTACTAACATTTCATCCACCTCTTGATAAACGCTTAAGAATCAATTTATATTAGAAATAATTTCACGCCAACATTAAAACATTTCATTTTATTTAGTATTTCAAAACTGTATGGGTGTAAGGCCCGAACTGAAATTACTCCTCCGAAATATACTTTTTGGGTCCGCCTCTTCAGCGACACTGCCACACAGCCGTCACAAAAAAATGTGTACGCGATTATCGTACAGACTAATGTTTTATTCCTGTGAGTGGCTGAAAATGTGAGTCTCTGTGTTGCATAGCGGGAAGATAGGTTGGTCTTATATTCGCCGAAAGTAGATGAATTCTGACTTCATTGCTGATGAATCCTGAAATATTAGGTGCTTCTTATTCTGATATTTTCTTCGTAACAACGTTCTCCAACTATACTCATGGTCGTGCAGTAATACCACAATACCTTATATTACTAATAGACGGTTTTGGTAATACTCACGTCGAAGTGGAGTAATCCTCCGTTAACCATAGTCAATCGTCGTCTGTCGCCCTTTCGGCTAGGGACTCGATGCATTTAGATCACCAGGGTTCCCAGACGGTCACCCATTCAGGAAAGCGCGTTGTCTTGAGTTTCTTAACAGCCGTGACTCCATGGAGCATGGTTAAGCATTTCGGTTACCGACGCCTGCAAACCAAGTCCCAATAAAAATGCGTCAGACGTTAGTGTAATTAAAATCAGTTTGGTCTATCAGAGTCTAATTGTATTGAGTCTGGTAAATGCAATATCCGATGAGCATTTGCCGACAAAAATCAAAAGATCTGGAAAGAAAATAAATGCATTTTTTGCTTTAAATATTTTTCACTAAGAACGTAGGGCTGTTACTGCCCAGTCATGCATTACAAAACACCAGCCAAAAGTTTGCACGTAACCTTTTCTTTAAGCACTCCGGCCGCGATAACTTTTCTTTCATAATGACATCGCGCCCACTGCCAATACCATACCGCTGAATTCCCCTTGTCCATAGAAAATCTGTCATCAACTTCTTTAAAGTCTTGACCCAGTTCCATACGATTGTTTCTTGTATCATGCAGTAAAAATTGCATACTGGTAAAGTCTCTCTAACTTTGAATACCAATGAAAATGAGAACACGGAATCTCGTAACTGAATATATTTTGTGTACTCTTTCTAAAACTAATAATAATAATAATAATAATAATAATAATAATAATAATAATAATAATAATAAATAAATAAATAAATAAAGCCTAGCGAAGTGCTCGCAGACGTGGGGTCCTTTCAAAATCTAAGCCTTGCAAAATTGAACGGACATGGTACGTCACATGATGTGAAACTATCTCATTAAGAACGTCTTTGCAATACGTGTAGTACCCGGGAGAATAGCCTTCTGCAGGTGCTAGTTTTAACGCCAAGCGGTACAGATGAAGTGCGTTCAGAAGAGATCAGCCCCTTTGCAGAGATAACCACAGACACTACTTGTTCATCAACTCTCTACTCTCTAAAGCAATTAATAGAAAAGAGGAGGGAATATAATCTTCCAACATATTTAGTGTTTATTAAGGCATTCGATAATGTTTTAAGGAAGAAGCTTGGAATATAATGGACAGAAGAGGAATTCCCAACACATTATTGAAGTTATTAGGGACATATATAATGGTACACAAATTAAAGAAAAATAACGGAGAGATCCTACACGAAACGATTAATTAAGATGTTAGACAAGTGTGTCGTTTGTCACCCATCTTATTTAATCTCCATTTAAACAACGCTGTTAGAGAATGGAAACAGCGGCTTACATTTTTAAATATTACGAACAACTTTAAAGAATCCACTTTTGTCAAAACTTTAATATTAGCTGAGAATCAGGTACTTATTTCAGACAATGAGAACAAATTTCAGAGAACCCTGTTTGAATTACAACGGATAACAGCAGAGTATAACTTAAAAATCTCAGTAGAAAAAAAACAAGTCTATGGCATTTCAAGAAAGCTTTCCTATAAGATGTAAACTGATAATAAATGATACAATCAAACATAACAAGTCCGAAATTTTAAGTTTCTAGGCTATGACATTTCATACACAGGGGAAGTTGATGTAGAATGAAAAGTACAGCGTTTAAATCATATATGATTAAAAGAACCCTAAAAAATAAGGCAAGGAAAGACTCTCTCATTACATTAGCTGTGCCGACTGGTCTCTGTGGAAGTGAAACGTGGGTACTGAATAGCAAATTCCCCAGTAGAATGCAAGTTTATGAAACGAGATTTTTGAGATCAATATTGGGCTTTACGAGAGGAAACAGAATAAGGAATGAGGATGTAAGAAATAAGTTAGGGATATTTAATTTAAATAAAAAAATAAAATGGGCAAACTACGTAAAAAGAATAGAAAATTCCAGAACTCCAATAGAAGTGACACAATACTGTCCCAAAGGAAACGGTCTGTTGGACGACTGAGAACAAGATGGAAAGACCAATGAGTACGCAACGGATCTACGATCCAATGCTTGAAGAAGAAGAAGACGACGACGAAGAAGAAGTTAATAATAATAGTAATAATAATAATAATAATAATAATAATAATAATAATAATAATAATAATAATAATAATAATAATTTGGAGGGTACTTTACATGTAGCATCAACATTTTCAACATTATCTCAAAAATGACTCCAATTTTTAAAAATAAACATTGTCCTTGGATAGCGTAAAACAACTTTTTAACAAATGTTCAAATATCATATTTGCTAAATTCCATAAATTTTCGAAAATTGCAAAAGTTCAAACTTCTCTTTGGCATCTTCTTGAAACTACGAAATTAAAGACAAAGATTTCCTCTTTCATTAAGTCTATTCTTAAAAGACATATTTTGAAATAGTGTCATGTATATTTTTTTGAAAATATAAGTGGTTTTCGCGTTATTGTAAAATATAGGCAAATCTTAAACAATTACTTTCTCAAAAAAGGCCTTAATTTTTTCTTCAAATTTCCTGCTCGTATCATATTTTCGAACCATATTTTCAAAATATTCTACATGAACTTATTTCAAAATCTTTATTGAAAAAACACTCTATTAAAGAAAAAAATATTTATTTTGAATATTATAGTAGTAGGAAGACGACTAAAAATATTTGATCTTTCGCGGTTTTCGAAAAATCAAAGATTCCAAATATAATAAGGCTTGCACCATTCTTTTAAGAATCCTTTAGGTTCTGAGGAAAAAGTTGAATAAAAAATCCATTTTGGAGTAAATATTGAAAAGGTTGATGCTTCATGTAAAGTACTCGCCCCTAAAAATCAAAATTTTCGTTTCAAACTCACAGGTCCTCAAATTTCTTAAAATCCATAGGAAATATGAATTTTGGAGAAATTCATCTGAAGTGTGTGATGAATACAGTGTGAAGTGTGTGTAAGACGGACGGACAGAGGTTTTGCAGAGAGGCGGACATTTTAAAGCCAATCGATTTTTCGGTATCAAGGTCCCACAAAACATTATTCTGAACACACATGCTAGAAGATGTAATTTTCTACCTAGAGGGACAAGATTTATCCACTTTTTTGTTAGCAAGGTATCGCAATTTTTTTTTATGCCGAAAAATCTCCTTTACCAGCGCGATTACAAATAAATTCACTTTTTACAAAGGTGAGAAAGTAAAAATTCATTTATCTACTTCTCCGAGCGATTAGGGAAAAACATACAGTACGTCAGTAACTAATTAATATAATGATTAACCAAAGACCTATTCCAAATAAAGAAATATTAAAGAACAGTGAATGATAGTTTAAAGTTTCACTATCTTTTCTCTATGTTGCCTTCCAAACAAATTGTCGTGCATACATGTATATATATATATATATATATATATATATATATATATATAAAAAAAAAGGTCGCATCAACATCTAGGTCATTAGCGACTACTATTGCATTTGACGGTATGGTAACTGTGAAGATGACATGATATGGTGATGATAGGGGGCGAAAGGACGAACGCAAATACAATCATTCCCGGGGCGATACACACACACACACACACAAATACATATTCATATGCATGTAACATTAGATGGAAGAGGGATTTCCTTAGTGGGACACCTGCGGGCGACGGCCCCGCGCGGCGTCGCCGGTCGGGCGGTGGTCGGGGCCTGAGTGAGTCACATCTCGAACTCCGGACCAGCGCCAACGGCCGTCACGTCGCAACGGTCCCGCCGCCAACGGTTCGACGCCCAAGAAGGCATGGTGCCCCGGCGGCCGGCCTTCATCCGCCGCCGCCGCCGCCCCGCCTCCGCAGAGGCCAAAAGACGGAGGCGGCGGCCTGTTGGCTAAGCGAGACGGAAGATGACTCCGCTGGCTCGCGGGCGTTCACTCGAGGGCAGGCGGGGCAGGCGGTTGCCGTCCGCATGGTAGCGAG